AAAAAAAAAAAAAAAAAGAACTATTTCCTAAAAGCCTCAATTGGCGGAACTTTCATTATCCCTTTGAACCTTTGTTCCCAAGCATTTCGCAAGCATGAATCACAGAATTCTAAATTTTTCAACAAAATGCTCAAGTTGTTCATATATCTACTAAATATACAGAAATCTTCCTGCAGAATTCAAGTACTGTTAGCTAAATTCTCAAATCAATGAAACTAGAAAAGAATGTAACAGGAAAAAAGTTTCAAGAGGACAAAGAGGATCCTTTTTTGGGAACTGATTCTGTAAAGTAACCATAAGTATATTCATTCCTCAGTTTATAGCCTACCCTACCTAATGGAAACATGTTAAGATTGCTGGGATAGAAGGAGAAATAATGTTGATGCTGATGATAATAAAAATTGCCCTTTTATGCAGGAACAAATTTCAGTACTAGGTAACCCTTAATTGTTTAATTTCACAATAGGACAGGAATTCCTTAAACTATGAAACTATAGATCAATAGTAAAAAAATATTCCAGACACAATTATTAAATACAAGTACATTCTAGCCATGTCTTTTTAGGTATCCAGAGAAAAAGTAAGGATCTGAATGCACCAAAGCTTTGACCTATACATGCTGTATAGGGTGAAGCCTAAGAGGACAAAGAAATTAAACAATCAGTAATGAGGTAGTAACAATCATTCTCCTACAAAGAGTTAGAAAATCACCAAATAACACTGAAGTATTCCAAGTGAAAAATTTAAATGTTTAAATAAATCCTTAAGTTTTCTTCAAGAAAGAAGATGTTCCCCTCCAAAAAAACCTATTTTGTGTTCAAAAGCAAAATATAAAAATACCAATACCACAAAGTATGACATTTTCTGTGATAAGGAGTTCAAAGCAGGAATAAATAACAGATTACAGGAAAAGAGGAGAAATAACTTTAAGAATCCCTATTGAACATTGCAGGGTTAAAAATTATGGGGATTGAGATTCCCATTGGAGACTCTTACTGCTGTTCTTCATAGTAAGAACTCTACATCTCACTGCTTCAAAGTATTTGATTCATATGAAAATTTTCTTTAGGGTTAAAGCTTTCAAACATAATTAGAGACTAACAAACTTCCTCACTTCAGTCATCATCTAAGTTGCCTACCTGTTTTAAAGTCATTAATCCCTATGTTCCCTGGTCCTTAAATTTGTCATTTCTACAGTGTGGAAAAGGAACTAAAAGGATAAGGAAGAGTCTTTTCATTAGTACTTCAGAAAGAATGCTCAATGTCATGATATAGCTGTGGCAACCTAGATCCTCAGTTACCAGCATCAGGGAAAGGCTGGCCTTGAATTCACCTGAATGTTGTTTTTATCTTTTCAAGAATGTTTCAAATATCTTCTAAATGTAAAGTAACCACTTTAATAAAATGCCAACTAATTTTATACAGTTACTCTTTCTTCAGTTATCTTTTCCCTCAGGTAGCCTCCAAAATTTCAATATCTGAAGGAGACATACTTCTGCCCTTTGAGATTCTAAATTCCTTCTCAAATGACAATAAGGTTTTTGATTCATTTATAAATAATTTCCCTATTAATAAAAAAAAACTTCTGTTCCCCACTGGTTATCCATCTGAATGGCACTGACCTCTCAAGCCAGCAGAAAAAAGAATTTCCTATGACTCTGCCTGTGGCCTCCTCAGGTCCTTCCTCTAGCACCCCACTTGTAGAAATGAGCCTCAAAGGACAAGAGCTCAGTCATAATCCTCTGTCACCAGAAGTACTGTTCACTTACCTGCAACACTTCCCAATTACCTGAATCACCTGCCTCAAAACTGTAACTGAAGAGTAAAAGAGCACCAGGACCAGAGAGGCACAGAACGGAGCTTCCAACAGCTTGGCAACGCCAAGTGCCGCCCCTCCCCCCACCTAGTGCCATTTCTCACTTTGGCCTTACCTCGCTGGGTCTGGGTAAATTGGGTGCTCTCTGGATCCTGCTCCATCATAACGGGATAATGAAATGAGGGAAGACTCCAGCAGCCTCCTAGCAGAGATTAAAAAAATGGCAATAATCCCTGTCAATTACCAACTCAGAGGTCATTCATAAGGAAAAATGGGTGAGGGATAAATAACATCCCCCACTGTAGTGTGACGCTAACACCTGTTATCTGGAATCAAACCCTTCCTACAAGCTAAGTTTGTACAGGCGTAAATAAATGAAGAGCTACAGAGCTCCCACACTAAATATGGCCACAGGATGATGAATACTGCTCTTGAGGGAGAAATGAACAAGTGCTTCAGAGACATGATCTTATTTCTGTTTGCAGTACCTCCAGTAGACAAATAGGAGGTTGGGATCAACATAGGAGGGAAAACTTAGGCACACACAGAGATCATTACACAGTGCCAACATTTATTTATCTTGGCATGTAGCTCCTCCATACCACCATAATCCATATCTACCTATCTTCTATTCATTCTGCCTTGCCCTCAACCATTTTGTGACAAACAGTGGTCCTTCAATGTAACTCAATCCTTCATAAGTGACAAAATTTTTACTAATATAATCTAGCCCAATCACGAAATCAACTAATCATATGTGATACCCACACATTTCACTGAGCACTTTATCGCTGCCAAGCAATATACTAAGCACTTCATGTGTGTTTCTTTGTTTAAAGCTCACCACAAGCTAGACTAGTAGGTATTACTAACATACATGAGAACAGTGAGCCTAAAAAGTGAAAGTATACGCCTGCGGTATACAGCTATTAAGTGATAGGGTGATAGTGGCAGGACTCCAGAATTAAAGACGGCTTGCTCTTTTTTTTCTTTAATCGCCCTTTATTGGTAGAGTACCATACTGTCACAGCTCACGGCAACCTCCAACTCCTGGGCTTAGGCGATTCTCTTGCCTCAACTTCCTGAGTAGCTGGGATGACAGGCGCCTGCCACAATGCCTGGCTATTTTTTGTTGCAGTTTGGCCAGGGCTGGGTTTGAATCCACCACCCTTGGTATATGGGGCCAGCACCCTACCCACTCAGCCACAAGTGCTTTCTTAATTTCTAAATTAAGAAGGCTCTTTCTTAATTCCAAAATGCAGGACTTTCCAAGGTCCAGGCAGGAAACAAGCGCGTTTGTATCCACTGTGAACAATGGAGATTAGCAAATGGGAAGGTTTGTGTCCTATCAGCTCCAGCCATACTAGAATGTGGCTTCAGGACTACTGGGTCTCCCTACTTTTTAAAGAAAAGCCAGAAATTGGCCTTCTGCATGAAATCTCCCAATAACTGAATTTTAGCTATGACTTTTTTTTTTCTTTTTGTACAACAAGGGCCAGTAAAAACACATATGATTAACATGGCCCAGGGGCTCCCCGGCTTGCCATGTCTGATGCAGTACTTCCCAACTCATATGTGCCTTGGCAGCCAATCAAGCTCCTTTTTCAAAGGAAATGGTCTCTGAACGAAATGCATATTGTTCCTCTCCAGCAGCATCTTGCCTGAATCTCCCAAGAACAGGTCTCCGGCTCCCTGCCAGATTCTTCATTAAAGCAGATCTGCAGGATAAAGACAGCAGCTACCAATCTTTTCCAATTGAGTTAATTCAATTTTCTGTTATTAGAACCAGCTGGTTTTAGGTACAGTCATGTGCAGTCACTTTATCCCAGCAACAAGCACACTCCAGAATTCCCCCAACAGCCCAGGAAAGAGAAAAAGCAAAGGCTCTATCAACCCGCCTTACAACAACCTGGCCTGCCTAGGACAACCAAATAGAAGCTGATGTTTTCTACTAGACAAGGCCCCACACTTAGAGACTTCTAACAATCCTACCAATGAACAGACAGAACACAATGAAATTAATAAGGAAAGAAAAATGTAATAAAGTACTTCTCTAAGGCTGAAAGCTTCAATCTTCAATAATATCACTATTTAAAGCAGCAGAAATTCTACAATTCACCATACTTTCTCTTTTCATATTTTAATGTGTCTGAAATTGGGGTACATCTTACAACTGTGTAACATGGTTTAATTGACAGGAATTTTTTTTTTCTTTTTATAGTTTTCCATCTTTGAAATACAGAATGTTTGTGAGAGCTAGTCTGAGGCGCATAGTCTGGAGAAAAAAAAAGACAAGCAAAAATTTGAGAAGAGTATGTACTCAGGTCATCTAGACCACCTTACATAGTCCTACTGGGTGGCAGTCCAAGGATAGAAGCAGTGTGGGAACAGCTGAATGCCCTAGAATATGTCCAAACTTTTCCACCCCAAACTCCTCTGGAGTTAGTCCTGAATATCAATCACTGAGCCCTGCCATATTATCCTCCAAATGGCTACTTAGTAAGAGGCCCTTTGGCAAGAAGGAGGTTGACCAAATTATATCCTTAAGTTCTTCTGCCTGGAAAACAATTGTATAAGTTAGGAGGCAAATAAGCCCCCTACTATGCCAAGGCAATGACAGTATTGAGATGTCTTATCACAGATGCTATAAAGGAAACTCCTCAAATGGAAGAGTTTGAATTAGATAACTTCCATTTTAATGACTCCATTTTCTAATCTTGCAAAGTCTACTTCCCACTCTAACTTCTTTTAAATCAGAATAAAACTAAAATGTAAGGCTTTGTCTCTGGAGCATCCCCAAAGAGGTTCTCTTGGAACATGCATCCCCTGTGCCTACTTACTACAGAATCTGTTGGCACCATTTGCTCCCTAGACTATACAGTGGGACTGACAAGCCACATATATACACGGCATTTTACTGCTAATACACTAAATCAGGAGAGCCCATCACTGTGAATAGCACCTCCCCACATAAGCTCTTCACAGTCACAAGTACTATCTGGAGAAAAAATAGACTTCTCCAATCGGTGTCGAATAAAGAAAGAACTAAAGTTACTAGATGAGTAAATATCACCACCACCGTTCCTAGGAACCTCAAAGAAAGATCCTTCTTTCCTACTGTTAGCTTCTTGCAGAGAGCTGTCAATGGGAAATGGCATGAGAAAATGGGATGGGATGGCAGCTGTCCACCTTCTCCTCTGGTCACAACAAATACGACTTGACTTAATGATCTATCATTCAATTTAATAATGCAAAATCAGGAAGAGCTTAGACAACCTTGTTCAATTTTTGAAGCTGCCATTTCATTCTGACCTATAATCTCAATTTAGAAATGTTTTAAAGAATCACTGAAGCTCTGACAAAAAAACCTAAAAACTCATTTCTTTTCTCTACATGTTTGTCTGGTTCATTCTCTATACAAGTGGTATCTAAGGGAGGTACATGAAGGGTTGTGCTATTTTAATCCACCATGAAGCAGAAGAAAAATATTACAACTTCTTGCTTTATAATATACATTCATAATGCACATAATATAGATGGGGATTATTAAAAAATCTTTTACTAAGAAAGGGTTTTTTTTTTTTAAAGTCTAAAGACAACTACTCTATCAAACTATAAACTACTTACGATAGTAAGTATACTACTTAAGATAGTAAGATACTTAATATTCACCCAAGTATGGTGGCTCACACCTGTAATTCCAGCACCTTGGAAGGCCAAGGCAAGAGGAATATTTGAGCCTAGGAGTTCGAGATCAGCTTGGGCAACATAATGAGACCATCTCTTCATGAGGTGAAATGATCACTAGAGCCCAGGGGTTCCAAGGTTTCAGTGAGCTACGATTATGCCACCGCACTCCAGTCTGAGTGACAGAGCAAGACTCAATTTCTAAAATTAAAAATAAATTTATAAGTAATTTTAAAATTAAAAACAGAATATTTAATACTTAGAACAACCAACATATAAAATGTAAAATAATATAAATGTAATAAATACATAAAAGCCTAACCATATTCATATACGAAAAGAACAAAAAAGAGAGAATAATGAAGCAAATGTGGTAAAATGTTTAACATTTAAGGAATATGGTGGAAGGATACATGGGAATTCTTTGTTTTATTTTTGCAAGTTTTCTACAAGTCTGAAATTATTCAAAATAAAAAAAGAAAATTTTTTTCTATTTTTTGTTTTTCTAATAAACAAAAATCTAAAAGTCAAACACTAAAACTAATAGAGGCAGCCATTCATTTTCACAATAATTACTTCTTTAAAAGGATCTCTTTAGGGCAGTGCCTGTAGTTCAGTGGGTAGGGCACCAGCCACATACACCAAGGCTGGTGGGTTTGAAACCAGCCTGGACCAGCTAAAACATCGATGACAACTGCAATAAAAAATATTATGTATTTTTTATGTAGCTGGGACTACAGGTGCCCGCCACAATGCCCAGCTATTTTTTGTTGTTGTTGTAGTTTGGCTGAGGCCGGGTTGGAACCTGCCAGCCTCGGTGTGTGTGGCTGGCGCCCTAACCACTGAGTTATGGCCACCAAGCCCTCCTAGAGCAGTTTTAATAAACTACAGGCCCTGGGTCAGCTGCCTGTTTTTGTAAATAAAGCTTTAGCTAAACATAGCCATATCCACTCATTTACATATTGTCTGTGACTGCTTTGGAGCTCCCAAGGCAAGGTTGAGTAATCTAGATAAAGACAAAGCCTAAAATATATACCTCCGAGCCCTTTATAGAAGCTCTTTGCCCACCCAGACTCTAAAATATTTGCTTACATAATAAAGTTCCTTGAAAGATAAGGTGAAATAACTAAGAAATAGAACAGAAAGACTTGAAATCAAAGTATCATGCACTATAGAAACCATGAAAAATGAATATTAAGCCCTACTAAAACCTTAAGAGGCACAGAATTCAAGTTGCATAATAAAATGGCTAACACTTTAAATGAATACAACTACTTCTTTCCTCGTAATTAGATTCTGAATATCTGCAAAGGGATTCCTATATCAGCTGTCTGGTGAGACGAAAGACAATAAAAAGTTGAGGAAGGAAAATGTGGAAAAGGAAAAAGTGGTCAGGGCAGATGAGATACCATCTAAAAGAAAAAATTCTTTACTTCAAATTCAATAGATAACATAGTTGATACAGAAGTCTGGGTACTAGTCTAGACAAAATAAAAAAGCCAGTGACAACTCCTT